TTTTATTATTTCTTGTAATTCTAGATTACTTCATCCGTTCTTACTATATCTAATAAAATTATTTTAATCTGCCATACTTAGACTAACACTAATCCACATTTTATTCTCTTAAACTTCAGACTTAGCAACCTCTGTTGAAATTCTAGAATGACAATAAAGTTAATTATCAAATGAAATTAACTTAGAAGTATTTTAGCATAGGTACATGGTTTTGATCATGCAAATTGATCAATATAATTGATTATGGAAATAATTAGAAGCAATCAAAATCTTTTGAGTTTCTTGTTTATAAATTGGTGAAAGCAATCAACATCTTTTGAGTTTCTTGTTTATAAATTGGTGAATTTTTAATATCTTGATTATCGATATATGTCTCTCGTTATTTTTGGTACCTCACTAGTTGCACGCATAGTTCAAAAAAGTAATACAAATTTAAGATTTAATAATTATACCTAAAATTTACAATAACATAACGATTCGACATGAAGAAATATAAGAGTCCGTTTGATTGCAATAATGGAATTTGGGTGAAAAGAAAATGAATTTCAATTAATTGAATTGCCTAGAACTTGTTTTATTGGAAATTGCCAAGTAATTGTGTTTGATTGATATAATTTTCCATCAAGAAAATATTGAAATTTTGGATCTTTTAGTATTCATTTGACTTTATTTTTCATGAAAATTTTCCATTAAAGGGATATAATTTGTTACGATTGGGGATGAAATTTGTTTCCATTGCCAAAAAAAATTATAAAAAAAAAAAAGTTGTCTAGAAAACTTTTCCCAACTTTTCCTCAAAAACCAAGAAAATGTGAGCATGTGGGTGAAAGATGGAAAGCAGATTTCATAGAAAATTTGAGCAATCAAACATGCAAAAATGTAAAAAATAGAATTTAATTTCCATCTTTAATTGAACTGAAGTGCAATCAAACAGGGCCAGCCTAATTCAAATTAAACAAACAAAAAGTTTTATTATTGTGATCTATTTGTATATGAAGATATCAAATCCCTCTTTATCTTCTTCACTAGTTGCTGCTCATCATTTATCATCCAAATGTTTGCTTTTCTTCATGAAAGGTCACATGAATGCATGTGAGCTTATTCGAAAAGGTCTATACAAATGCAAAATAGACTGGCAAATGTGTTGTTGGTTTTGTGCTCTGACAGACTTTGACACAAGTCATACCTTGTGACAATGCTAATCTTTACATTTCTATATTATCTAGCTCAATAGAAAAATACGAGTTGTATCGGGTATTAGGCCATTTAGATGGCAAGCTAGGCCAGCCATATCTTATGTTTAGTCTGTGTTTGGTGGGAATTTAAATCGAATTTTTAGTAGATTTTGACAAAAGTTGATGAGATGTATAGTTGAAAAATTGTGAATTTCATAAGATCTGTGGTTAAAATTAATTTTTGACTTTGACTTAGATTAAAATTTGAATTTTAATTTTTAGCAAACCGGGGCTTGATGTAATTGAGGTAGTATAAAACTCAACTTAATTACATCATGTTTGATTGTGTGATTAAAAATAGTTTAAAACTTAAATTTCTATAGCGTGTTCGATTGAGATTAAAATCGGATTAAAATTGAAAAACGAGTCGTTATTGTTAACTTTTATTGGACGAGTGAGACCTGATAACAACTATATTTTCAATTTTAATTGAATTTTAAGCACGACCGAACACGCTCTTAGAGTGTGTAGAGTGCCATTAGTCATGCCTGAAATTTACAAGTCTAAGACAATGATAGGCATAACTTTGAATTGGACAAAACCAATGTGGTTGGTCTATAGTTTTTTTTTTTCTTTTCCCTTTGGAGATTTGAAGAACAAACATAAGAAGAGAATTAATTGAATTAGATAAAACTGAATCCATTTTAAGTCAATCAGTCCAAGTCCAATCTTTTAAGATATGTTTAATTAATATACAAAATTGAACATATCTCTACAATACAATAAAACAATTTTATCTATTTTTTTCAACCTGCCATTGGAATTTTTGGAGTGAAAAATGGGGCAAATTAAAGTGTCGGGGCATAAATTATTGTTACAATATTGCATATTTATTACAAGAAATTTTACTTTTAACAACATTTTTTTTTCTATAATTCGATCTCTAAAATTTTCTCAACAACACTTTTTGACCTAACAATATAAAAACTATCAAAATCTTCGTTGTTAAAAGTGTTTTGTAGTGTATATTCATTATTCATGATGTGTAAAAAATTATGAAGAAAAGTCGAATACTAACGAAATTGTTGAAAATTAACAAATCACGTTAAACAGAAAATAATAATAATAATAATAATAATAATAATAATAATAATAATAATAATAAACTTCATTTTTTGAGCCCTTTTATACATAAAATACGATGCTATTTCTTACGGGTAATATCTCGCATCAATTAAAAGTCAAACAATTAAACGAAATATAAAGGCATAAGTTATTCTTCTTAACACTATCGACGTTGTAAGTTGAATTCTCAATTCTTAATATGTTATTCGACGTCATTGAAATTCCAAAATTAGCGTGATCAAAACCATATTCTCGCAGGAATTTATTAACAAAGTGTATTATCTCATATCGACTACAAATATTTCTTTTAACAAAATTATCTTCTAAGTTGAAATATGAAACTTCAATACTACTAACTCCTCGGAATTTTCTTAGTAGTACTATTGGACCATGTGATTTGTTAATGCAACAATTATCCTACAATTGAATCCCATTGAAAGATAAAAGTCAATTACATTATTAAAAGATAAAAAGTTTGAATTGTTATTACTATATCACATGGTGCATTTGTGTTGGGGTGGGGCCTTCTTAAGATGTAGCACATGGCAGGTCTCCATTAGCCTTTCTTTTTTTGTCCAATTTTGCTTACTTTTTGAAGATGTGGGTTTGAGGGTTGGCCCTTTATTTTCCAACCATTTCCTCACCATTTTTTTTCCTTTTAGTTTCATATCTTCAAAAATATCAAAGACTACTTAGATACATTACACTTTCTTAATGTTATTTAGTACTATATATATTACATATTCTCTAATATATGATAACAAATACATTTCAACCATAAACCAATATTCAGAGACGGACGTAGACATTTTAGGTTAGGGAGACACAATCAAACCATGTACAAATCGAAAACTTTGTTCTTGATTTTTGAGTAATTCATTCTGACTTGAAACAATGCAGATTTATATCTAAAATCTTGGACAAATCGAATTCTTTGATCTTGATTTTTAAATGATTCATACAATAAAAAAAATATTTCTTCATTAATATTTTGCTAATCATTTTCATCAATTTGATTTTGAAGAGTCATTTTATTAATATTTTGTTCATCGAAAGAAAATACATATTTACGTTTAAAAATCTTATAATATATTTGGTACAAACAATGAATTCAAGTGATTGAAATGAAAAACATATAACTAATATCCAATACTAATATTCAATGAAATAAACACAATTCGTTTAATATAAGTCAAATTGGATATAATGAGTTTAGACATATTCTATATACATAATTTGGTAGGAGAAAATACAAATTTAGGTTCTAATTACTTGAAAATTTGATTGGAAAGTAAAGATTTGCAGTAAATGGAATAACTTGTAGAGAAATTACATACAAATTTTAAAAAATTAGAAAGTTTAAAATTTTGTTAAAAACCGTGAAGAAAAGAGTAAAAGAGAACAAGAGAAAAATCAAATTTGTTGTGATTTTGCCCCTATTTGGTTGAGATTAAAATCAAATTTTAGTCAATTTTGATAAAAAAAAAAAAAATTAAACAGTTGTGAATTTTATGAGATATGTTATTAAAATTAATTGTCAACTTTGATTTAGGGTATGTTTGATGGATATTATTTTGGAAGAATGTATTTTGGNGATATTATTTGGGAAGAATGTATTTTGGAATAATAGATTGATGGAGAATGTGTGGTTGAAAAAGAAGGAAAAGTTATTGATGTAATGAAAAATATTATTTTAATGAAGAATGTGTGGTTGAAAATGAGTAGAATAATGAGAATGAAAATTTTAATGGGTACCAAACACATCCTTAGATTAAAATTTAAATTTCAATCGATACTAAACATGACTTTATCATCATCATCATAATAATAATAATAATAAATCTCAAAAGTTGGGGGTTACATGACCCCCAGGAACCCCGAGTCCGCCCTACCAATATTCATATAGTTATGAAAATTTTATAACGATTAATATTACACAACATTCATATATGCGTGCCCGTAAAAAGAGTTATGTAACGAGTACATTACATTTCATTCAATATACATATATGCTCAAATTTTGTTCATCGATAATAATGATGCTTCGTTCTTACCATTTGATTATTGAGTTACTTTATTTAAAAATTTATAGGGATAATCAATCCCGAAATATTCTCATTGTTAAAGTTCTTTGGAACCTCGTAAGTTATCTTGTACTTTCAATCGATTTTAGCCCACGTCTGTCTACTATTATTTCAAAAAAATGTTTGCTACAGTAAGATTTTCCACCACACATTCACCCATAAAATATTTCTACACACAAATCAATAAAATTACTTTAAATTTCAACCATACATTCTCCAAAAAATACTATTCATTACTCTATTTTTCTCTCAATAATGGGAGACAAACACACCCTTAATAGTGTCCACAAATCATCAATTATATACTATTTTTTTTAAAAAAAAGATCAATAATGAAATAATGAAATATTCAACAACATAAACATTATGATTTAATCATAAGCCAAACTAATAAACCAATTAATGTGAAATTAAAAAATAAAAAATAAATATAATTTAAAAGGCAATAAAATAATAACAAATAGTAAAGATATGTTGCTAGCTAGCAAGACATCTGCACAATAAAGAATTAAAAATACAGAAATATAATAATTTCTCAATTATTAACATAAACTTTTTAAAAATTAACCCAAAAAATTAGAAGAGAAAAATAAAAAATAAAAAAAATCCAACAATACTAAGAAGTAGAAGACTGGTCTGAGCTGAGCACGTCAGATGAACCGGCTAACGAACCGCCGCCGCCGCCATTTAGGAGCCCAGTAAGGGAAGTCATAGCTTTGACTTGCATTTGTAAAGCCGCAATATAATCAGTCGCTTCTTCAAGAAGATTCGGCATTGAGAGATTACGGCAACCAGGAACCAACCGGCCGAGTACCCGCACTTTCTTCTGCAAAGGTGACAGTTTTTTCTTAACCGCCGGTTTCTTCAACCGGGAATTTCGGTTCACCGGTTTTGATGCTCTTTTGTTTTTCCTGTTGACCTGAGCGAGTCGCAGGCTGAGTCGACCCGTGAGGATTGCCCTGCTCCACCGAGTCCGGCCTTTAGCAGAGTTAGCGAGGACACGATCGGCAGCCTCGCGGACTGCATGGCCTGATGCGGTGGCGGAATCAGGGCGGCGGAGGTGGCAGAGAGCGTTGACAAGCTTCGATGAGTAGATCTGTCGCTCCGCCTCCGTTTTCCATCTCTTCTCATGGGAATGAATTTGGGACTGAGTTTCCACCCCGATTTTTCTTCTCTTTTTCGGCGACGGATTTGAGTTTGCATCAGGATTCGCAATCGACGATGATGCCATTATTATCAGAACAAGAAAATTTCAAAGAATTCGTTCAATTTCTGAATTTTTTCGTGCAATAGAGCTCGAGGAGATTCAACTGCAGATAAAAGGAAGAGAATGAAAAAAGAGTAGGAGAAAGCTTTATGGGAAGAGTAGAAATGGTATGGGATGGAATTATAATAGAAATGTTGTTGTAAATGAAATTGGTTTGGTTTGGTGGGGTGGGGTGCATATTTCCCTTTTTATTTTTTCCTTTGAAAAAAATATTATGTTCGAATTTAGAAGACACGACGTGAAGTTATCTTTCTTACCTAACCTTATGTTGTGACAATTAATAGGGTTATTTTCTATACGCGTTTTTTATGTAGCGTAAAGTAATTTGTTTATGCTTTTAATTGGTAGTTTATTATATTTAATATGGGTCGATTAGATTTGATTAGGTTCGACTACAAGTACTTGTTTATTAACAGTTTAGGTTTGATTACGGGTACTTATTCATGAATTTTTCAATTCGACTCAAGTATATTAATTTAATAATACATATCGATTTGATTCAATTCAAAATTTGTATTTCTCAATTGTGGAAAAGAAGATAGACATGACTATGAAAATCTTGGATCAAGAAAGGGTCGTAGCAAAAGTCAGTTCAATGAAACAATAATGATGCCACATTCACAAAAGAAAAATTCACAGAAGTCCTACAGAATACACATGATTAGGTGGGGTCCGATTTTTTTGACAATATTAAATTCACGTGGGCCCACTTGCCATGTGAGTCATCTGTAGAAATTTTGTGAAAATTCATTCTGTACATATGGATTAATTCATGAAACAATGGTGGCTCGGCGGAATTTGTGCCATCATAAATTCTCCCTACAAGAAAGT